GCCACGGCACTAGCTACCAACAGTGCTGCATGTTGAGTGACGACACCTCGGCGTCCGTCTGGGAAGCTCTTTCTCGTTTTTGGGTCCGACCGTTCGGAATGCCAGGCGTGAATCTGTGTACCGGTGGAGCCGACTTCCAGGCGCCATTGCCGCTTGCGGGGTTGCGAGCACGCCACGAATTACCAGCCTGTCATGGCCGCCAATTCCCCCTCATTACAACGGGAAGTGCGAGCGGCGCGGGGGAATAGTTGAGGATGCGATGTCCCGAGTTGCCCTGTCGGCGGTGCCGACGAGTAAGGTCAAAGTCGACTTGCTCCTGTGTAAGGTCATCTCGGGAAAGAACAGGACCTTTCACCTCGGGGGCTATGGCCCTGGCCATATTGTTTTCGTGGAAACTCGAAGGACGCCGTGGACGGCATCGGGGTATATGACCTCAGACACAGCGCGATCGATTCAGACGCTGCTACCGCTGCCTTTGCCAGAGCCCGCCAACTTAGGCTGGGGGCGGGTCGTGCTCTGGCCTCTCACGATACGGCAGAAGCTGCCAGCGCCCGCTGCCGTGTAGATAGGACTTGTCAGCCTGGGGAAATGGGTGCGTGCTTGGAGAAAGGTCACTGCCGCGAATAGGAGCCACGCCTTACAGAGGGATAGGTGGACCAGACATGGGGCTGTGGTGTATCAGTCTAGGGGGTCAGTTTGGGTGGCGATGAGACAGCGGCAGCCAGAATGTTCTGCGGAACCTCTCCGTCCTGCCATTCGTCCTGAGGCGCTTGGCGCCGAGCTCCTAGATAAGCTGCAGCCCAGGATGAGCCGCCTCCACCCAAGTTCCCGCTAATGCGATCCAGGAGATCTCGGTCCGTGGGACTTCCGTGGGGGCTTCCAGGGGGCCTGCCTCGGGATCCGCTTCCTGGGGGCGATAGACGACTCCGACTCTGAGATGGTAGGTGCAGCTAGCGACCGACGTGCTCTGAGAAGGCCCGGGGAGGAGCTGCCAGCGTCGGAGGGTCGGCCGGCGGAAAGACATTGGGGCGCGAGTCTGGCGCCCTCTGGCCAGTCCTCTACAGCTTCGATCCCCTCCAGTCTCGGGCGACGAAATCTATACATATCCACTGCTCCCTGACCATGCCCATCTTGAACCCAGGAGCTGTGTATGCGCCCTCCTGGCCAAGCCAGGAGGGCGTGGCGTATACACCGCTGCGGGGTTGAGGATGGGCCTGGCCAGGGAGCAGTGGATATGTATAGATTTCGTCGCCCTACAGTCCCAATCAGCTCGCGCCAGCCAGCTCCGGAGAGGAGAGCCAGTAGTTTCACGCATGGTCGACGAGCGCGAGGGCGCTAGGGCGACGCCTCAGCCTCGCTCGTGGATCGTCGCATCCCGAGCAGGAGTGGGAGCCGAGGCGACCTCTTCTTTCTCGGCGACGCCGGCGGCCTCAGACCGCGGAAGGAGTCAATCTCCCCCTCCGCCCGAGGTCCGAGAGTCAGGGAACCTAAATTCTGAACGGATTGGGTTTACCCAGGGGGTCGGAACGGAATCTGGCAAAACAGTCTGGGGATGGTTCGAGCAAGGGGGGCCCGGGGAGGGCGGGGTCTCCGAGCAATGGGGGAATTTCGGTTTAGAGTCCGGGGGGACGTCATCAGCTTCATGCCAGCTCGGACTCAGAGTCGATTCGTTTTTCCTTGATTTTGAAAGCTGTTATTCCAGTGGCGCCAACGTTGCCGCCGAGCCGGTCCCTCGGCGAGGGGCTGAGGTCCGGCTGCGAGATCTCTCGCCCGAGCAGCGGAAGGCGTTTGACGAGTCAGACGCGAGCGAGTGGAGCTCGATGACGGCAACCGGGGACGTTCGATTTCTTTCGCCTGAAGAGGCGCGGATGGTTCGAAGACGCCTTCACGACGTAATGTAATGGTCGCGGATGGTCCGGAGGCTTAACCGACCGAGGGAGTAGGAGGCGCTCCGAAGGCAAAGAGCAGGTGGTCTGTGCACGGCCACCAAGACCCCGATAGTGAAACCCTCCAGGGCTATGCCCCAACCCCGCAGTCGGAGAGTATAGTGTTGGTTCTTCAGATAATCTCGTCTATGAGGTGGGCCTTCGGGATCGGGGATGCGGAAAATACTTCTTGTCAGAGTAACAAGCTGGACCGACCCGAGGGGGCGATTTTCGTGGAACCCTGTTCGGGCCTCGGGATCCCCTGGGACCACTGATCGAGTTAGTGGCTGTGGCTCAGGACTCTGACCGATTTCTCGTCCGAGCTGGGTCTCAAGCGTTCGCTGCTGGAGCCGTGCTTCTGGTCGAAGAGGAGCTCCTGCAGCAGTCTTTGATTTTAATCGAGGTCGACTATCTGATCGTCTCGGGTGACGCCAAGGTGCCCCCGGGGCTGAAGGCGAAACTGCTCGAGCGTCTCAAGTTCGGGGAATGGGGGGGGGCGATTGCGCGGGGGGACACGTTGAGCAGATTGGAAACGGAAGGGTTCTGATCGACGAAGAGGCATACGTCCGGGGACAATTGTGCCCGATTGCCTTGGGCAAGGCCCGGAGGGCCCACCCCTCATCCCTTTGGTCCCCTCGGAGGTGCCCTCCTACCGCACTACTGTGGCGCAGATTCAATGGCTGGGGGGCGAGAGCAGGCCACGTGTTGCTGGCAGCGCGTGTTTGCGCGCTTCAGCTTTGCCGTATCCGTTTGTTGAGGGCGCCGTAATGGCGAGCGAAGTTGTGAAGTTACTCCGAGCTTCCGCTTCGCAATGCATTGCCTTGTGGCCCCTCGAACCCGTGTTTGTCTCGTTTGTCGTTGCTTCGGATGCTGGAGGTCCTGGGTCGGCCAGGCAAGGTGGGGCGCAGAGCGGCTGGCTAGTTTCGCTGCCGACAGTTCGATTCGGGAGAGTCGGCGCGCTCGAGTGAGTCTGTTTGCGTGGAGATCACACTGAATCGTCGATTCCCCAGAAAATATCGTTTATGAAGGGGCCTCGAATGCCTCCCTGAAGTGACACTCTAGGGGTGCCTCTCGGAGGCTGCTGGAGGGACACTCTAAGGTTTCATGGCCCCGGGACGCGGGGACAGGAGAGGGCGGAGGAAGTGGGGTTCAGGACTGCGAAGGAGCCGTCGTGGAGCCGGAGACGGGGCGCTGGCGAGGGGCCGCCAGGGCCCTGCCCAAATGCGAGGGGCGAGGAAAGGAAGCGGAAGAGAGGAGGAGGAGGAGGAGCAGGCTCTCGCGGATCCTGTTTTCTCTGCCTGTGGAGCTGACGGAGTTTAGACTGCGAGATGTTGGGGCGATGTCTTCTGTGAACCTCAAGAGGGGTCTGCGTGGTGTGTTCTCTGCTCCCTTTTTAGCCGTCCTCCGCAGCCCTTGGCTTCGAGGCGCCTTCGTGCATCTTCGTGTTATCGCCCTTTGCCCAGAAAATTGTTTCGTTGCTCTCTATTGTTCGGCGCGCCCAGCCCCGTGTGTCTGCGACTTTGAGACGGCAGGACGGTCCTTCAGGAGGCCCATTCGAAACTGTCTTGGGCCCGTCCAGCGCTGCGTAGGGGCGCCCCCGATGGTGTCGATGGCAATGACAACGCGGTCACGCGAGGGAGCGCGCGCGTTACTTACCTTCCCACGCTGTTGGGAGCCCTTATCGGGCCCTTGGATCTAGATTGCACCCAGCTGTTGGCGAGCTGTGCGCTGAGGCAATTCGAGCTTAGGGTCCACAGCAAGTCGGTTAGGATGGAGATGCTCAGGATGACTTGGTCCACAACGTCATAGCGCACAGTGCAATGCATCGTGGCATGACGCATCTCAGTTCAGCGCAACGCAACATATCACAGCCTTTGGCACGGTACGTCACGATCGATATTTTCAGCATTGCAAGAGCCCGCCCCCAATGAGGTATCTTGAGCACGTTGTCATGCTTCATGTTCCTATGTTCCTTTCTGGGTTCATGGGTCGACCATGTCGTGTGAATCGGGTCTTCTTGGGAGTGCCCGAGTGAGGAACGTGGTTTGGCCATCTTGCGCCTTCCCTGCATTCTACTGGGCTGTTTCTGATCATCTTGGGCCATACCCGGGCCACTTGGGTGGCCAGTGCGGGGCCTGGCACTTTCTGATCCCCGCTCTCGGTGCCCTTGTGGGCGCTGACTTTCTCCCCCTCTTGGGGGTGTTCCGCCCGCTCTGGGGGCCCAGTGCGGGCCGACCAGACACAACACGATTACCCTCCTTCATCATAATTTCTGTTTGGAGCGATCTAACACGTCTATGGCCCGTAGGGCCGGCGAATTTGAATTCATCCCTTGGCGACGAGCTCCTTTCGCGAGTTACTGCCAGCACGTTGCCCTCGGGCATCCTAATGACGTCTTCCGGGCGGTTTGCAGCGGACTCCGCTGCCGTGGCGAATTCCGGAGGTCATCGCGAGCGCGCAGTATATACAAACAGGCCTGGGCCCCAGCTGCCAAGTGAACGTGGACCCAAGATTGGCGAGGTGGTCATTTGACGTTGCTCGACCTGTGTCAGTATGGCCCTTCCGACGCCCTGTGGCGCCAAACCACGAGGGAAGCCAAGAGTATCATCCCCCCTTTCCGCTTTAGACCGATTCGAACTGTTTGGATGTTTCCAGAGAAGTCTTGCGGGTCGCCCCGTTGGCTGCACCACCTTGTGTCGCCTGGGCAGCAGCATCGGGGCGCCCTGCGGACCGTCGTAGCTCTGCCTGCAACTCGTGGCAGGGATGCACACTTGGCCCGCGAGGCCGAAGGGGCGCTGAGAGACCTGGAGGAGGGGTGCCAGCCCCCGACGTGAGCAAGGCACTGAGACCTGGGCCTGGGCCAGGGGCAGTCTCCATTAACACCGTGCGCCCCAGGGAGCCCGCAGAGCCACCCATGACAGCCCAGACAATTCAGAGTGCGCTCCGGGTAGTTGCGGAGGCTCCCACAGGGCCGCCTCCAGTTCCAAAGACTCCTGGACGCCCCACGAGAGCCCGAGTGCTATCCGTATCCAGTCTTGCTCATGCCTTTAGCCCAGCCGCCATTCTCACCCTGAGGCACTTGGACATGCTTGGAGGGCGGTCCAGCGATTTGGTGGTGATGAGCACTCTGGAGGCGGAGGCTTTCGAAGACTGTACGCCGGCAACGCCGCGCTCGGGCGACTTCTCCGACTCGCCGATGGACTCGACCGAGGACTCGTGGCGCAGGATGAGCAGAGATTCTGCGAGGCGCGCCTCGATCGGGAGCCAGGGCGGCATGTTTTCGGAGTTCATCCGCGCCGAGCCCTCCTACGGCAAGACCACGTTCCGCGGGCAGCCGGTGCGGATGGGCCTGTACCGTGCCCTCGAGAGCAACACCGTGAAGCTGCTCGTCGGCCTCGCCACAACAGCCAGCTTCTGGGGTGTCATCGTGGACACCGACGCGCGCGCGGCGGGCGACCCGGTGCCGAATTCGCTTGCGACCCTCGAGTACATCCTCTTCTCGGTCTTCTTCCTGGAGCTCGCCGTCCGCTTCTACGTCGAGAGGCTGGGTGCGCTGAACAATCTGTACACCATCGCCGACATCGTCGTGGTCTGCACGAGCGTCGCCGAGTACATTCTCATCTTCTGCGGAGTGGAGATGGGGTTGTCGAAGGTGAGAGCGCTGAGGCTGGTGAGGATGATGAAGCTCGTCCGGGTTGTCTACAGGGTGCCGTTCTTCGTCGAGCTCCGGAAGCTGATGTATATGATCAGCTGCTGCATGAAGACGTTGTTCAAGGAGCTAACGCTATTTTGCCGACCCCCAGAAGAGGAGATATGCGGATTCCGATGTTGTAATCGTTGTTTGCCGCGTCCCGTGGTGCTGTCTGTGTGTAGTTGTTTCTGGCTTGTTCCCTTCTTCCTCCGCGTCTGTCGTGGGGGCTTCTTGGGGGCCTTATGCAGGCCTCGGGGCCAGCATTCGGTGAACTTTTGCACAACTTCTGGGTTTTGTTGTGGGCCCTCTAAGGGTTTCTCGAGGGTTTTGTTGTGGCATCTTCGGGGCATGTCGGGCGTTTTGGGGGCCATCTTGCGAGGGATGGCTCCCGGGGTCCCTGCGTCCCGCTTCAGCCTCCACGGCCCCTCTTGGGGCCCTCTTCAGGGCCTTCTTGGCCGTCTCTGGGACCTCTTGGGCCATGTCTGGACCCTCCTAGGGGCCTTTTGGGCCGTCTTGGGTTGATCTGGAGGGCTCTTCGGCCTTCTCGGGCTTCAGAACCCTTTTGAAATGGCGAGAATGGGAAAATCATGTAAGACAATTCGGGAACTCAGTGTTTTTGCCTGGTTTTGCCTCTTGTTGCCGTCTTGTGGGTCCTCGTGGACCCTCTTTGGGCGTCTTCCAGGCCCTTCCGTCGCGCAGTAGCCCTTCTTGAGGCCTCTCGCAGGGCGTCTTGGGCTGACACGCTTTTGCAGTCCCAGCACGCTGGGGATCGGCGGGTTCTGGTCGTTCCTGGTGCTCGGCGTCGTCATGACCGTGTGGTCCATTGTGGCCGTGGAGCTCATCCACCCGAGGGTCGTGGAGCTGTCGTTGGAGGGCAGATGGTCTGACTGTGAGAGATGTGCTCGAGCGTTCTCGTCCGTGTTCCACTCCAACGTCACCTTCTTTCAGACCATCGTGGCTGGCGACAGCTGGGGTCTCATGGCCATTCCAGTCATCGAGGCTCATCCCTGGACCGCCGCTATCTTCACTGGGGCGCTGCTGACCCTCGTGTTCGGCGTCCTCAACGTGATCGTTGCTGTGGTCGTCGACGCCTTCGCAGAGGCGCGCGCCAAGGACGTCTTCACACGAGCTCGGGAGCTCCAGTGGGAGGAGGAGGAGGAGAAGAAGAAGCTGGCCGCCATGTTCACGAAGATGGACAAGGACGGCAACGGCTCCCTGGACATCGAGGAACTGAAGGATGGAGCCAAGAAGGTTGAGCAGTTCAGTGACTGGCTTCGTGTACTGGATATTGACGCCCGGGACCTAGAGGATATGTTCTCCATGCTCGACAGAGACGGCTCCGGCGACATCGACAAGGGTGAGTTCGTGGAGTGGATGTACAGGATGAAAAACACAGACTCCAAGACTGTCGCCCAATTCGTCAAGCAGAAGCTGTGCAGCATGGAGGAGAAGGTGCAGGCGCAAGATGACGACCTCGATTGGCGATTATCCGAGGTCTCGCAGCTGCTGGGACAGAGCGTGCTCCAGAGCGAGTCGCTGTACAGGGGGATAGAGGAGAGCATCGCCGAGGTCAGGAAGCAGATGACGGAGTCCATGGGCGCGGCGCTCTCCCTGTTGGAACCACGGCGGCGCAGTGCCGAGCCTTCAGTGCCGTACTCTCGGGCCCGATCCTCCTTTCTCCTGCCTGGCAGCGGTGGTGAGCGGGCGCCCTTTTGCCACGACAGCCTGGCAGTACCCAGCCTCGAGGGCGACAGAGCACCCGGCAGCTCGGGCATGGTCCGGACGCCTCCGCAGCATCCGAAGGCGGAGCGCGGCCGCCCCCGCAGGCTCCAGACGGTGACGATAGAGAGCTCTGCCGAGCAGCATCCTCTATCGTCACCGTGTGCAGCAGCATCCTCCACCGACGGGGGCAGCACAATTGCCAGCAACTTCAGCTCGATGACAGTGCACGCGCCCTCCAGCAGTCCACGGGGACCGTCGCGCGGCCGCAGCGGTCGCCACCAGCCGAGAAAGCTGTAGACGTCGACGCCATGGCTCACATTTCTTCGAGTCCCCAGTGCGTCCTCTAAGGTCGTCCGTAACGACGGGCACTGCCGTGTCATCGGTAGCCCTGCTGCACCGCGCGATCTCTTTTCAGACCTCCCCTTCCTAGTCTTATCCGCGAAGGACTGTTCGCACTATGCGGGCCTCACTTCTGATCTAAAGAGCCTAGTTTGTCGTCTGGACTCTCCCGTCGACTGCTTCTTATGCGTGCCTGGTTGCTCCTGCGCTGCGCTGTCCGCTCCCCTCCCTCCTTCTTGATCGCGTTTGCTCACTGTGTTTTTCCCAACCCTCCCGTGTTGGGTTCTCGTTCTGAATGGAGCACCGCGGTCGCACACTCCCTCCCTCCTTCATTGCTTCCCGCCTCCCTCCTGCCTCCCACCTCGCTCCTTCATGCGTGCCAGCTTGCCTCCTACCTGGCCATCCCTTGGGGGGCTGCGATCTGCGAAACTGTCGCCACTTTCGAGGGCTGCTGGGGGGTCAGCGGAGTGACGTCCCACCCAGATTCAATTTAGACCTCGCCATCCCTGGGGCGGGGCTGCGATCTGCGAATCTGTCGCCACTTTCGAGGGCTGCTGGGGGATCCAGCCGAGTTGCGTCTTACCCAGAGTCGAATTAGACCTCGCCATCCCTGGGGTCGGCGACGACGTCCTATCCAGAGTCAAATTTGACGTCGCCACCCTTGGGGCTGCGATCTACGAAAATGTCGCCGCTTTCGAGGGCTGCTGGGGGTCCAGCGGAGTGACGTCTGTAAGTATACTCATATTTGACGTCGCCATCCCTGGGGGGCTGCGATCTGCGAGACCGTCGCCAGTTCTGAGCGCTGCCGGGGGTCACGCTGGATGCTGTCGCGGGCCGCCCGCAGACCTGTCGTCGCGCCTTCGAGCGTTCAATTCTGGCACTGAAGAGTGCAGGGCGGAAGCAGGGAAGCTTGCGGGCGAGCTAGGCCTCGCTCGCTTCCTGCACTAGCGGTAAGCAGGTTTACTATTTTTGTCAAGCGCCGCGGCGTCATGGTGCAATCAGCGCTACATCTTTAGCGCAGCCCTGGCAAGCGTAACACTCTTCGGTCTCCTCCCGTCACTTTCGTCGTCGCCCTGTGCCCCCTGCCACCTTCCCTCTGCTGCTGCCGCGCTGACGGTTCGCCCCCCCCCCCCCCGCGCGTCCTTCTCCTGCCCTTCGTTCCCGCCTCCTCAATCCTGAGCCATCTCTCCTCGTCCTTCTGTTGTTGTCCTGTGAATCGTGTCGCGTGAGCGCACCCCGAGTAGCTTGCACAACATGTCACGGCGCCTGCGCTGTCATTGTCCTGGCAAGTTTCAACCAACTCCTTTTGTCACTTTCTGCAAATGGGTTGGGTACGTCGCAGGGTAATTCTATTGTCGTCTTCAGGAGGCGACACCTTCGGTTGACATTCTGAGCGTTGCTACTTTCTGGGTGGCAAAGTAGTGAGTCACACTCCTCGTTGTCCTCGTTGTCCTCTTCCTCCTCGTTGTCCTCCTCTTCCTCGTTGTCCTCCTCTTTCCTCGTTGTCCGCCTCTTCGGTCTCTTCCTCGTTGTCCTCCTCTTTCTCTTCCTCCTCGTTGTCCTTCTCTTCCTCCTCGTTGTCATCCTCGTTGGCCTCGTTGTCCTCCTCCTTCGCATCCTCGTGTGGCCAGGTAGCGCGAATGTGGCCTGGAGCGACCAGAAGTGGCGAGCGACCAAGATGGGCTCGTTCCCCTCTCGGTCTGGGTCCGGGGCTGCGGCCCGCAGGCTCGAGAATTTTTCGTGACATGATTTTCTAGCCTTGCTCGGCAGATACGCCGGCTGGCACAAGCCAGCGAGGCGATGCAAGCCTGACCTGAGTTGTCGGGTTGGTCTGACGTTCTGGTCGTCGTCCATTCTTCTTTCCTTCCTGGCGCCACTGTTGGCAGGCCCCCATGGGCAAGCATGTGGCACATCGGCCACGATAGCTGGCGCCCGCTCTGGTGATTGCCCCTCGTTTCGGGCAAGCAAGGAGGGGGCGGCGGCACAGGTCCCTCACGCTCGTTGACCACAGATCACCTGCCCGTGGGCACACCGCGGCCCTCAGAGAGGGGGGTGCCCGCAGAATCCCCGACGACCTCCCCAAAGTTCAGGAGGAAGTCCAAACGGGGGGTGAACGACCAGCACACTCAGAGTTCGGAGCGACTAGCCACAGGGAGGAGCAGGAGGGTGAGGAGGAGGAATACAACACGTAATACTAATGAGAGGAATACGTGGACACTTGATACTACGACGCAGAATCATAATAATAGTGACATGATTATTTTTCATACTAATGAACATAATGCTATACTGAGCATAATAATGCGAAGGCTATCACGGACTACGAAGAGGAATACGACTACTAATAACAATAATACTGCCAATAAGCATAACAAGCAAAACACGACTACTACTAATAATAATACTGCTACGAACACTAGTGGGAATATTAATAACTTATGACGCAGAATAATACACACACGAATGCTAATACTTTGAGCTAAGCTATCAATCGTAATACGACTAGTAAAACGAAGTATAATCACAATTCTAATCAGAATACTTTTACTAAGAATGATAACAATACTGATCGACCCCGTTTCGACAAAGAGTTGCAGTTTCCAGGTCCGATCGTCAGAAGCAGCGGCGCCCGTACGACAACAAGTTCATCCCCCTGGACTTGACGGCACCGCCACCCTCGTTACGACGAACATGGTGTTGCATTACCTGCGCATGAGACGCCCACTACTCCTAATCTCGGTGAGCTTATCCATCTTGGTCTGCAACTCGCAGACCCCTGGGGGGGACTGGAGTGTAGCGGGGTATGCTGGGGTGTACTGGAGGGCACTGTGGGGTACTGGGGGGTACTGGGGGGCCCTGGGGGGTACTGGGGTGGTGGAGGAGGAGGAGGAGGAGGAGGTCCGTAGCCATTTTGGCTCAAGGCTAAACGTAACGAAGGGTGGGTCACCCGAGGTGTTGCGATTAGCTTTGGACCCATCCGTCGCTGTCCTCGAGCGAGGTAGGTGCCAGCGCGCCTTCCTCTTCATTCGCTCTCGCACCCTCACACTCTGCTGCCCTGTCTTGCCCCTGCGGGTGCCAACAACACTAGTTGGCGAGGGATGCCAGCGTCCAGCAATGTGCAGGTGCCGACGCCAGACCGCGCCGCTGGCGCCGCGGCTGATGGCATGTCAGCCCCGCGGCAGCAACAGTTCGCCATGGACGCCAACGACACCCCCACCCCTCCCAGCCATGGGCGACGAGGTGAGGCGTTTCGCACTCCGCCAGCTTCTCCTCGTCATGTGCGTAATGGTAAGCGTCGCAAGCATGTCGGCTCTGAGCTGCGCAAGGAGTTCCGCGATTTCAAGCAGACCATGGACGCAAGCATGCAGAGCGTACTGGCCAAGGTCGGAGCCGTCTCAGAGAGCGTCAATGCTGCCCTGGCCGGCCTCAAGATGTCCATCAACCAGTCGTGCGAGGGCTTGGCCAAGCAGTTCGAGCGCCGCATCAACGTCGTCGAGCTCGAGCAGAAGACCACCTCGGACAGACTGGCAAAGGTGGAGAAGGAGATGCGCAAGCTTCGCCAGGAGTTCGGCATCGCCAAGCAGGAACCACCGCCGACCAAGCAGTTCACGCCTGGCAGCTCATTCAATCGCGAGATCAACCAGGGAATCGTCATCGTCAGGTCCAAGGAGCTTGTCACGGCAACGGCTGTGGCAGATGGAGTTCGGTCGTGGCTGGAGGATAGAAACATCGAGGAGGACGATTGGCTCGTGGAAGGAGAGCCGACCAGCAAGAAGTATACAATTCGTTTCACAGGACCCGCGGGACTCGCCGCTCGTCGTGTTCAGTAGTGCCTCGGGAACCTTCGTACACGCCGTGCCGACGGGGGTCAAGGCACAATGTGGCGGCGCTCCCAGACGACATCGACCACTTCTGAGACTGTCGGGCCAGGTAAAAATGACTTCCTGCAAAACTGTGCGTCGCGTGCTGGAAGAGCAGTTCCCGCGGCGCCGCTTTTTCATTGATAAATGCAAGGGGGAGATTTCGACCAACTGGCGCCCGCTGGTTAGAGTCACGCCCGTTGAATCAGATGACGTGCCTACCGTGGAGTGGGCGGCGGCGAATCTCGTGCAAGAGGGAATGGATCAGTCCCAGCTTGCCCCGCTCGTGGAGAGAGCCCTGGCGGGCCCAGCTCCAACTGCGTGGAGCTCCTAGCAATCTCAGCGTGCTGTGGCACGGTACCTCCTCTCCTCACTCCCCCTCGACCTCGACCTTCCGCATCGTGACGTGGAATGCACGCGCTTTGTTTCACTTCGAGCCGCCTGTCCGAGCAAAAAAGATCAGATTTTTGCGTAGGTTGCTCGTGCGTCGCAGCATTGTGGCGCTGCAAGAAGTTCATGGCGATGAGCCTGAGCTTAAGGATCTCCTCCACCACCTCCACCTTCCTTTTGAGGCCTCCTTCTCCTTTCATCCCTCTCCGAATGCTGGAGGTGTGGTCACCCTCTATCCGCGTTTTCTAGCATCCGCTGAGAGACGCGCAAGGTTTGGGCACGAGCGTCCAGTTGTCACCCCTCTTCCCCTCATTGATGGGCGAGCACTCCTCACTAAGATTGGTTCGCTGAATGATGTGTCTTGGGCTTGGCACTACAACATTCACAATTTTGGCCTCTCGCAGGGGGAACGTCGACTGCTCTTAACCTCGATTGAAGAATCGCTGGCCCTAGCTAAGGAAGATCCGCTGCACCGCATGGTCATTATCTCTGGGGACTTCAACCTTCCTGCCTTCGCCCCGCTCCCGCTCAACCCCGTGAATGAGTCTGTTGAACTCGAACCTCGTCCTCTACCTCCTGAATGGCGCTCGGCTCTCCAGCACTCGGTGGAGTTCGAGCTGTCGACCCCTTCCCACTTTAATGCTTAAGAGAAATTTCGGTCGTTTATCGATCGGGTGTTCTCCTCGTTGCCTGGCTGGATTCTCTCGTAATGCGCCTCGGGTGGGGAGGCGGTAGACCAACCAGAACTCTTAGCTGCC